AACCCTGTAATATCGAGTGCATACATTCTATTCCATACATCAAGCTCGTTTCAAATCAATTACATTTTTCTTTTTAACCTATGAGGATTCACTTGGAAATTGTGATGTGTGCTGTTATCCATTGTAGTTTAGGTAAACAGGAGAGATTAATTTCGTCTGTGAGGATGGGAGTGTAGCCCTGGGAAGACCTCTACCAGGCAAGAAGAATGAGTAGGAACTTCAGCGAAACTGTATTCAAAATGAAAAGAACTTTTGGAACACAATGCATTGGTGGTGACATAACCTCTTGAATTTGGCTGGACACAGCACACCTAAGTGTCATGTCAAAAATGTGGAGAAGATAGAAGATGCCTAATTGGTATAAGTCTGAAGCTATCAGAAGGAAAGGGTTATGCAGACCGCCTATTCAGGCCAGCCTAAGGGATAATTTAGAAAGTGTATCCAGATCAGGGGATATACAACTTGAGTGTGTGCACTGTGAAGGAGAAAGACATGCACAAAGAATGTAAGAATTTGTGAGCAATGTATGCCATGGAGGCTTCCCGGCATGGTTTAAGGCAGAAACGAAGCAGACCTTCATGTGATCCATTCTAAGTCACTTAACCTAGGGCAGTCTCAGGTTTTTTAACTGAAAAATGAGGCTAAACATTCCTGTCTCATAGTGTTGTTGGGGAGATTTAATACGATAGCATATTCATGAACACACTGGGGATCACAGTGGGTGCTACATGAGTTTCATGCTTTTCTCACCTCTTTGATAAGCATCACCTAGAATGCATATTAAACAGATCTCTGGCCCCCCCAAACTGGATGAAATCAACATTTTTATAGAAGCCAAGTGGTAATCTGCATGGTTAGCAGGTGATGCTTATCAGAAAAACATGAGAAACAGCATTATTTCACTTCCCTCCCATCACATCCCACATTTCGTGGAACACACAAGTATCTCTACCAGAAGAAAAAGGCTGTCATTAAGTCTGGAATGAGAAAAATGAGAGAATTACAATTTTCACAAAAGACAGACATGTTTTTTAGTGATATGTCTCTTAATGGCATTATTCTGCCAATACTGTCTATTCCCTTCTGGGCCTCGAAGATTTTCATTGATTTGGATATAAGAACAAATTGAGTATTTCCAACGAATCTACTGAGAAACATAGTCAAAATAGCAGTCTTATTTTTTTTTATTGCACCATTATGAGGAGACATGGTACAATCTGGGACTGTGACATTCTGCAGGTGTGGTAAAAATACTGTTCAAAGGAAGCCCCATCAGACAACAAAAGAAGACCTCATCCATCCCTTCCTCCACTTTAATGACTGACAGTGTATGAAGCCAGATCCAGGTAATATAAAGAGTTTCTATAGAAGTTCTCTCCTTATAAACCATTCTCTATAAAAGGTTTCCAAGGTACTTAGCCTTATTCAGAGACAGCAACGAGATATCAGTCTAAGGGTGTCTCTTTTGTAGGTCTTGGTATGAAAGGCGGTCTTTGGTAATAGGGAAAGGCAGCATCTCAAAAACAATTTACAAATGTCAAATTGGCATGCTTTCAAACGGAAAATAACCTGGCAGCCTGACCAGATCTTTCCAAATATTTAACATCTCCATGTAAATAAAAAGACAGTTTCACGTCTACAGCTCAGAGAGGAAAATGTTGACACCAGAAAGTCAAATATCCAGTCCACCTTAGAGAGGCCATCGGAGATCTGAAGAGCAGTGCGGATCTGGGGCTCTAGGGCCCAAGAGAGCGAGGAGCATCTGGCCCAGCTTCAGAGTTTCCGTAACTATCTACTTAATCACAGCACTCAGGGGACTTTCCTCTTAAAACACATGTGACTTTGAGTTTAGAATCTGTGGCTTGTGTGATTTCTGATATGCTGGCATTCACGATATTATTCTCATCCCCACTCCCACAGTTTTTAAATATTGCCTTGGAACAGCAAACACCGACCGCGCGGCCCCAACCTCTCTCTCTGCCCTTTCTACTGAAGATCATAAAAGAGGTGGTTTGGGGTTTGTTTTTTTCTGTAAGTCACTTTCTATAAATTTTCTTTTAAGCCAAAATAACAGCACACAAGAATGAGATCTCCAGGGAGCTCCGAAGGAAGCGACCTCAAAATGACAAGTATTTTTCTCCCTTACCTTGAAAACTAACGGCAGGCCAAACACTGAGATTTTCTCAACTCCGCCCTTCCCCCCCAAACTGCCTTGCTTTGTAAGGTCTAGTTCTACTGTGGCGGGAAGAAGGGTCTCTCGGAAATTGTTTCTACGGTCAAAGACGAGAACCCTGCAGACCCCTCGCCCCTGCTCGCGTCCAGATCCCTTTACAAGAAAACAACAGTGAGCGAGGAGCCCGTTACTCCTGTTGGTCTGTCCCCTCGAGCGCCCAAGCTCCCCTGCGACTAGGGTAAGTGGGGTCCCAGAGCAATTTCTCTCGGCTCCCAGCACCCCTCCGCTTGCCCGCGGGCTCCTCGCCCCTCCCGGGCTGGCACCCGGGTCGGAGCGCCAGTCCGGTGCACCGCACCTCCTAAACTCGGGTCGGGGAAGAACGCACGAGACGCTCCTGGGCTGGGAAAGTGCGCGGAGGGGCTGTCGACTCAGCGTGTCCCCATCTCCGACACTCAGTCTCAGAGGCTGCAAAACCGAGGGTCTGAGCAGCACAGACCCAGGCCGCCCTGACTCGGGTCGGGAACTCGGTCTCCCCGCACCCTCAACCTCCCTCATCCCTCAGTGCACACCCGCCGCGAGCCAGCCAAGGAGAGTTACCCGCCGAGGCCCAGCGACGAAGACCGCAGAAGCGTGCGGGGCTCCGCGGCCCGGGCCGAGCTGCGCTCGGTCCGCCGCTGCCGCTCGCCCCAAGCCGGCTGCTGTCTCTTCCGCTGCGCCTGCAGCATTGGGCAGCCGAAACCCGCGGCCAGCGGAAACCGGAGGAAGGTGGCACTGGTCAGGGGCGGCTTGGGTATGATTCGGCCCGCCCCCCGCCCCGGACCTGGCCGGGGAGCGGGAAAGGGTGCAGGGCCGCCTTCAGTCCACGGCGCCCTCCAGCCCATGCGCTTTCCGCCGCACTGGGTCCAGATCCCTGGCGATTGAGCCGACCTCCTCCGAGCTGTGGGGGAGCTCCTCCTGCTCGGCCGCTGGCGCCAGATGGTGGCTGCGGCCACCCCCAAGTTCGCAGAAGAAGGTGCTATGCGGAGAGTGAGGATGTGGGGCTCCCTGGTCCCCGGAGCAGCGAGGCAGGAGCCCAGCCTATCCCCTACCTTTCGGGCTGGGCGGACACCAGCCGCGCGCCCTCGCAGGAAAATCAGCATGAAGGGAGGGCCAGGGAAAAGCAGCGGGTGGCTTCAGGACGAGGTAGGAGGATCAAGTTCCACAGCCAAGAAGACACTCCCATACTGCCCTGGTTTGTTTGGAAAACTGCCCAGGCGAAAGTGGGGGGCGGCCCGGGTACTCCCCTTCACCGCTGGGCTGGCGGGCGGCAGAAGTAAACACATTTGCTTGGCGCACCCGGGGACTTTTGTGACACTTGACGGTTTGGTCTCTATGAGGAAGGGAGGAGTGTTCAGAGAGCTCCAGAATTCCTGGATTCTGCCCTTCAAAGACAAATGTACTAGTGCTTTTTATCTTTTAGAAATGTTATTTTAGGGAGAAAGAAGGTGGGACGCGCGTTTTTGTTTTTGTTTTTGTTTTTCCTTTTCTTCTTAAAGTAGCCTCTCCCTTAAGAAGAACATATGTTAATACTGTCCTCATACTTCGATAGATCTGAATACTTCTTAAACTTCGGTGTTTGTGAAATAATTCATTGTCTAGCAACATTCAATTAATAGCTCCAGCCTTTGGGCACTGAGCATCATAATCACATGCCATCAAATGATCCTAGAGAGAAGAGCCACAGACTTGGGTGTAATTCAAAGCGGACTATGTGTCATGCACCGAAACAAAGTCCCTCTTTTGTGACGGACCTTCTGATATTTGTCTTAATTTTAACAACAGCCCTAGGAGGCAGCACTTGTTATTTTTCCAGTTTAACTAATCAAAAAAAAAAAAGAGAGAGAGAGAGAGAGGGGGGATTCAGAAAATCCTTATTCCTTTTCTCTTCTTCAAATTTCCTTGTAAGTAACACACACAAATTTGTTATTTTAAAGGTGGCTCTGCAGACTTCAGGGTAGTGAAAAATGTTTGGGGAATTTGCCCATCTGCACCAATTTTTCTTGAGGTTACTTTGCACTCTTAGTTCCTCCTAGGTTCTTTATTATCTTTCTCTTACTGGTGATCTTCAGAATTAAGCCAGTGCAATACCTCATTTCTTTAGCCCTCCTGGAATCTGCTGAGAGAGGCCATCCACTGTTTGTATGTGATGTTTGTGCTTCTTCATATTCAGTAGTGGCCAAAAAGCCACCGTTCACCTTAATCTAGTTCAAATTCAGCCTCATCGGCTAGCCTACTGTGTGACCCTGGGCAAGTGTCTTAACCTCAGTGTACTTCTTTTTGTCATGTAGAGTGTCATAATACAATTATAGTTTGGGGTTGTTAGGAGGATTGAAACAGAGGATGAGATAAAGAATTCTTGGCCCAGTGCTTGTCGTAAAAACCATCAATTCAGAAAGTAAGAATATTAACGACTGATGATTGCCCAACCTGATGATTGCCCAGCGTGTGTCAGCTGCCTCCCATGCATCATATCTGTCCCTCTTATCCACCCCACAAGCCAGAATAATCTCATTTTAAAATGAAGAAATAGAATAAGGAAGTTAAGCACCTATATTGGAGCTGTGATTCAAATGAAAGTGCCTGGGACCAAAATCAGAATTTTTTCCAGGATATTATGCTACTATATAGCTATTTGGAGCAGGAGCTTTTGACCTGTGCAACATTACTTTTTTTAAAATGCGGGGTACATTACCGTACGGGCACATCATTTCAACTATGTAAAAATTTTGAATTCCTTTGAAAGGTGATAAAGAATTAAGTAGGGTGATGGGTTTATAGGTTTTTAGCCCTTTCTGGATAATGCTTTTGGTAATTGATTTGGGGAAAATATTTTTAATATGGGAAGGAGGCAAAAGAATTAAGATATTAAAGCAAACTACATCCAGAGACTACAATATACTGATCAACTCTGCAGCCAGGCCACGAGGACACATTCAGAACAAAAGAAGATTTCTGCTGGGATTGCTAACAACCCATTTCTCCACACCTGTGGAAGGAGAAACAAGAACAACAGTCTTTAAGTGGCTGCCCTACACAAGTAAAATCATTCATCCCCTATGGCTAAAACCATGGGGAACCTATAGATTAAAAACTGGGAACTGCCAGCAGGACTTTCAGGCTACATACTCTTCCCCTTCCCTTCCTCACTGTATATCCATATCAAAGGAAATGGGTAAACAAAGTCTTGAAACTGTAACTCACAAGAACTAAAGAATGACATGCAAACTGAATTCCCTGAACACTCAGAGGTCCCTCTCACTGTCTTTCTCTCTCCTGGTACCCTTCAGTCTGTCTGTCTCTCTTTTCTCGACTCTCTTAGTCTCTCTCACTCTCTGCTTCTGAGAAGAGACCATGCTCTGGCGAGTGTTACCTCTTTCTAATAATCTTTCACTTTGACTCTACCTTTGGCGTGTGCGTTGAATTCTTTCTACACTCTCCACCAAAGGACCCTCTTCTTCTCTCAGTGCAGGCCTTGATCTCCCCCCACCCAGGGAAATTTGCCCTGTCCTGCATAATTTTTACAATGTAAATATATTTAACTTGGCCTTTGTGTACTTCTTCTTCTTCTTTTTTTTTTTTTTAATTCTAATGAGGTATGAGGGGAAGAGTCCAGAAATAGGAGAGAGCTCTTGGAACATGCAGGGTCTTTTAAAGGCTCCTGAAATCATAATATTTAGGCAGTGTACATATAGTGCTGGCCCTGTTTACTAGGTTTGTTTTTCAATTATGGTGCAATCTCTTTGAATTAAAATGACATTGTTTCATGAGATATGGTCTTTGCATACCCAGGGACAGGCAAAAGCTAGGTTTCCCAGACTACCCAGGGGTGCCTGCCATTCAGCACCTGTAGACTCATAATCTAGGTAAGGTTAAAGAAAGTAGTATTTCTTCCTCACCCCCAATACAGGGCCTCCCCTTTAAATTCTCATATCTTGTCCCAAGTACAGACTTTCTTGGCATGATTGATGTAGGACTATACTTCACGTGGAGACCTACTCACTAGAGTGTGCTCTCATCAGGACAGTCGGTCACATCAGATCATAGAAGGTGGACCCCAGGATTGGAGATACCCAGGAAGTGACAAGAGGCCATTTTTTTTTATAATCTCCCTAATATGTCAGTTAAAATAAAAAGTTTTCTTAACATTTCTCAAGACTTGAGTTGTTCAGTTTTAAATGATATCTGGCTCAGGACTGAGCTTGGCCAAGCTAATCCTTTTTTCTTAACAATCCTTCCTCCAACTCTAGGTGAAGATCCTGCCAGCCCATCTCTACCTGTCTTGGGATTTTATCTCCTGTAAGCAATTGGTTGAAGAGCATCTCAAAAAGAATAAGCTGCAGTGCTGAAGCAGTCTGAACCCGAACTTAAAGCTATAACTCTGATAGAGAAAGAAAAGAAAGAAAGAAAGAAAGAAAGAAAGAAAGAAAGAAAGAAAGAAAGAAAGAAAGAAAGAAAGAAAGAAAGAAAAAAGCAAGCTATGACTCTGTCTACAGTGTGAAAAAAAACTATTACTTTAGTAGAAGGCAGTTTAGTTCTTTCAAACAGAGCCATAACTTCTCCAACATCTCCATTTCAGAGCAGGGGCTCAGCTATATATTTGCACATGTAAATAACCATTCTGTTGATTTCCCCAATACCTTGTTGTGAGTGTATGAAAAAGGAATTCAGGTCTCTTAGAAGGTTATTTACAAATTCTTAAGCGATAGTTCCTTGACAGTTCCCATATTCTACTAGTCCTGTCAAGGTTTCAGAGGTCTTAGTAGACCAAGTCTCAGGAGCTGCATTTATTCTTCTTCCACAGGCTGGAAGATGATGGATGGTGAGAGCGTGGGACCAGAGATCAGCTTGTCCTAAGCATGGGAACGTGTAAAACACCTGTATGGTGGAAACCATAATTAAGACAAATCACAAAACAATCGCAGTGTATTATTAGAAAGGGTTAATATCCACACTATATATTATTAAAAAGGGTTAATATCCACACTGGTCCATTCTTATGGACCAGTAAGAAAAAGACAATATCATTTTAAAATAGAACACAGGCCATAAAGCAAGCAATTCACAAAGGAAATATAAATAGCCCATAAACACGTGCAAAGATTTTAGTGTCTTTTTATAACTGTTTAAGGAAATATGGATAATAATGAGAAATCAGATTGGCAAACACTAAAAAGACTGAGATTAATGAGTTTTGTCAAAGGTATCAAGAAGACTATTCAAGGAAGTATAAAGTGTTACTTCCTTTTTAGAGGACAATTTGGTGATTTCTATCAAATTTACAAGGTTGTTTTGGGTTTGAATTTCAAAACCCATATAAGTTTCTTTAACTTTCCTTCTTTGAAGACATGTTAGCCTCAAGCCAACAATCAAGGTAGGAATAAGGACAGGGAAAGAAAAGACTGGAAATCTCTTAGGAACTTGCATAGTGTGAGTACGCACAATGGTAAAGCTCCTTCTGGAGTTAGGGGCGCAGCTTGCTCAAAATTCTTACTTGGCCATAGAAGTGTTGGAAGCCTGGACCACTGGCCCAGCTGATAGGCCCCACTCCCAGGAGAGGAGAGAGATGTCTCACTCTCCCCTTCTGTATGTAGAGATGCTCTCCTAATTTCCACTCCAGTCCTATGACTGATAATTCCGTCAAAGTCTTACAGATAACTTTACTTGGGGCACTCAGCCCATTAATTATACATAACACTTTCACTAACATCATTGTCTCTCAGGTGGTTTACAGAGCTGAACTTAAGCTATTTCACATCATGGGAGAATTTTTATAAGATAGATCTCTAAAAGTGGAAGTGCTGGGCAAAGTGTACATGAACCTATACCCAAATAATTTCCTACTTTATATTTTCATGTTCAGAAAGTCACATTAAAAAAAAAAACTTGGCCTTTTGAGCCACACTTCCCTTGCTCAGGCCTGCTTCCATGTCTGGAAGTGTACTTTCCCTTCTAATAAAACTTTTATTTTCTACTGTAAAAACAAAAACAAAAACAAAAAACTTTTTCACAGCATTCCTGAACAGATACAAGGCAGAGTCATTACAATGAGCTGTGAGTGGATATGAAAGCTTCTCTACATTTTCCAAACTCCAGGCTGCTATTAATGCATGTATCCTTCAAACCAGCAATTCGACTTTTTAGGATGCCATCCAGTAAAAATAATTAAATATGTATAAGGATGGTCACAGCAACATTGCTTGTATGAGAGAGGAACAAATTTTTCTCTACCCTTAAGTTTCTTATGGCTGGTCTGATAATCAAATAGGTATGAGATAGCTTAGCAAGAGAAAATAACCAAATTTAATAATACATATGTATGGGAACCCTGCATACATGAGAGAGTCAGAGACCCCACATGCATGACAGACAGGTTCAGAGATAGAAAGGGAACATGGTTATATAAGACATCCTGAGCTACGGATGTGGTAAGGTGCCTTGGGGACTTCAAAAGTTCATTGCAGAATGGTACGAAGTCTTTAGTAAAAACAAGTTTGCCCTGCCTTCTAAAATAGGTCAAAAGAAGTTATCTGATCTTCTCTTATAGGCAAGGCTTCTAAATCAAATTCTTCAAAATAGTTAAGGGAGTGGAGGCAGAAGTATCTCTTGAGTCTGCTGCCAAAGTTGCCTTTAGCTCAAAACAATCTGCAAATCTGCACACCATAAAGGCACATCTTGGGGTGACTCATTCTGGACACCTATACTTGTAATATTTAAAAACAGGAAATTAGTGCCCAGGAATAAAGAGTGACTAATTAGATTATGGTATATCCTACTACTGAATACATCTGTTGCAATGCTATTGTAAATGTACATATACATAAACTAATGTGATTAGCTATAATATATTGGCTTAAGAAATTCTACATTCAGAAAATATTTGCTGTGGTTCATTTAGATTGAGCAGAAAAATAAAGGACCACTGATACATGTGAATATATTTGTGAATACGTAGGAGAAGTTTCTGAAGGCTATATACCAAAATGCTGACAAATACTTCTTTTAGAGAGAGGCAGAGAGAAGAAATGAGGGAAGATTTTTCCTTTTTACTGTAAATATTTCCAATAAATAGAACTTTTTATAATGTACATGAGTAACTTTTGTTATTTTTTTAAGAAGATGCAAAGTTATATTTATGTGTTTGGGAAAAGAGAGTAAAAACTCAAAATGAAAATGCATCAGTGTTTTAGCACTAATTTGAGCTCTCTAACTTGAGCTCTCTAACTTGAGCTCACACAGGTAGGTGATTTCCTACCTGTGTGCTCTTCATCCTGTAACTTCTGGGGTGATGTGAAACGGAGGAGGGGGGCTGTGTGGGGAGCCATCCTCGGTTTTTCCCTGCCAGTACAGCAAAGACTTACAGGTCAGCGAAATTTAGAAAAAGTAAGATCTATTGAAAGTATATTTTAAAAGGAGATGGGACACGGTAAGGAAGGCTGTAGCCCTGTGGAATTTGGGAGGTGAAAAAATAAAAGACAGAGTACACCCCAAGGGAAGAGCAGATTTTCAGTAAAGAGGGCTGCAACAATGCATAAGTGGAAAGGTCTGTTTATATTTGGGCCGTGATGGGAGGTCCTAGATGATCTCTGTAATGTGAGGTTACATACTTTGCCTACTACGCATGTGCTTACCCAGAATTCAGTCTGTGAAAATTAGATTCATGACCTTATAGGCATAGGCATGATATTGTAATGATGGTATAATGAGGCTGAGGTTATGGGCAGGTTGGGGTAGTACTTTCTGTGCATGTGTTTGTGGTTGGTTTACCCAATAGCTTTTAGGCATTTGTACTCTAGGATTTGGGGTAATTTGTAACGCTAAAAGGGGGGTATTTCTGGAAGGTCCTTAAGGAAGGTCTTCAAGGGAGGTCTCTATGATTACAGAGCTGGGCCTTCGCTCCTGTCACTCATGCCTGCTTTTTTTCCCAATCAATAGAGATCAAAATAGAAATACCAGGTGAAGGGAGGAAAGGGGAGGTAAATAGGGGTAAAAAAGTCAAATATTTGATGACGGAAGGAAATTTAACTTTGGGTGGCAAACACACAATGCAATATTTATATGACATACTTTTGAATTGTACACTTGAAACTTATTTGATTTTATTAATCAATTTCACCCCCCAATAAATATCAGGTGAAAACAAAACAAAATAAAACCCTTATGGCCACATCGAAAGAATAAGAAGAAAACCTATGTGAATCTTGTTTTTATTTTTCAGTGGGGAAAAAAATAGGCATGAAAGAAGCTTGAAGAAAAAGGTTAATATGTTCAACTTCATAAAAACGTAGTTTCTAAATGGCAAAACACACCACGAAGTAAAAAGACAAGATAGAAAAAATTTTGCAACACATGGCAAATGTTTAATTTTTGTATTATACCAAGAGCTCTTTGGGGAAAAAGAAAATAATTTAATAGAAAAATAGGTGAACTACTTGGACAAGCAGCTCTCTAAAGAGAAAAATAAAACAAACATTACTTAATTAAACAAATATGGATGCCTACTATTTCCCAGGCACTGTTCTAAACATGTATATAGCAGTGAAGGAAACTTAATTCCTGTCTCCATGGAGCTTACATTCTAGTGGATTTGCAGTCTTGATTTCACTAACCAAATTTTGTTATGTATAATTTGTACTTATTGGTAAAAATTATGATTATTAAAACTCATGGTGGATATACTAGTACTTTCCTGTGCTATTGGTCGAGTACAAACTGGTGCGGCTTTTTTGGAGGCTATTTTAACAAAAAATGTTACAACTTTAAATATTTATATATTTTGATGCAGAAATACCACGGATAGAAACTTCTGTTACAGATTTCTTTGCACAGTTTTACGAAGTCGTGTGTAACAATTGCCATTTAGATATTGCTTATAATCTAAATGTAATCCAGTAAAAGGGGTTGGAATTACAGGGTTCACATATACTATAGAATTCTGTTCAGTCATTAAATTATGAGCTAGTCCTATATCTAATATCTTTGAATAATGTCCAAGATACTACTAAATTTACATAGTACATTGCAAAACAGATTGCCTAGTAGGATCCCGTAATAGTTAAATATAAAAAATAATAGAAACAATAATGATAGTTATAATATAGCTTATGTTGGCACACACACTGAAAGTACCTGAAGGAATAGCTGTGAACATTAGCCACCTCCGGAGGATGCATTCATGGGAGGGCTTTCCTTTCTAAATTATACATTTCTGAATGTTTGGTTTGCACAACAAGCACCTATTTATTTGTAAGTGGGAAAAAAAAGAATTTTCAAAACATTTTGTATTTTAGAAATTTTCACATGTAGTTGCTTAGAGAAATATGAAATTGAACTTTACTTGTTGGGGAGTGGGATATCAATGGTATTTCTGAGAAATAATAACAAAGCTATGTTATAAGGGGTGATTGTGTACCCTTTTCATCAGAACTTTGATAAAGACAATGTTTTCGGTTTCTATTGTCCTCGACCTCAGAATTAACAGAACTCATCTACTTCTAAACCCACAGGGCATCACATCATCAAAGAATATTTATACGAGAATGACTTGTCAAACCAAGAGACACTGAGATACAAAATTGGTTCTCAAAGGTCCACAGGAACCACTGACCATGCATAGCTAGGAACCTCTCCCAGCATTTTGCCAACACACCTGAAGATAAACAAAAGGACAAAAAGAGACTAGAGGAAAAAAGAAGGACTAAGTGGAGGCCTCTGGATACACTTGAATGTGAGCCCATATTTATTATACTGCTATATGCGAACTGATTTTATATAGATTATGTTGTTTATTACAGCAACCCTGTGAGCTAAGTCTCATTATCCCCATTTTCCAGATGAAGAATTGAAGACTCAGAGAAATTTCATAATTTGTCCAGAACTATTATTATGTGTCAAAGACGGGATTAGAACCCAGATTAAACTCCAAAGCCTTGTTTTTCACACCCAGAACACAATGCATTTCTATTCAGATGAAGAATGTTAGAAAGTTAATGACTAATATGCTAACATGTGACATTTCGGGAAAACACAATCATGATATATTAAATAGGAATCCATGGAAGCCATAATTAGCCTTTTGTGCGTGGGTAACCAGCTGTTAGCTGAAGTGGGACTGCAGTCACTTCCAGTTCCCATTGTTCCCAAACCAGATTATTTTCTCCAAGGTTTCATAGACTATAGATTACTGAAACCTTTCCCTAGTCATCATCTCTCCTCACTGTTTCAGCTCTCTCTTTCACATCTGAACTCACTTTAAGGGATAGATCCTATTTTTCAGATAATTATAGTAGCAGAAGCAGTAACTGTAATGGCACCAGGGTCATCACAGAGAAACATGTAGAGCAACTTCCCAAGAGTATGCAAATCCAATGCAAAAACATGTCGAGCAGCTTCCCAAGAGTATGCAAATCCAATGCAAATTCTGTTCCTCACTAGGAAAAGTTTAATACACTACAGAACATTGTGAATGCAAAGAGAACCAGTATCAGTAATACAGAAACCACTTGTGAACAGCTGAAGTAGAAATAAAATGGATTAAAATTGATAATTGTTTCTCAGTGGTTTAAACTAGTAATCTGTTTTACTACAATCTTTGTTTTTAGGTGTCTTTTTGTGTGCTTTTAAAATTTATTTTTGTAGCCAGAATGCCATGCTGACAGCAGCTTTTCCACATTCTACACATGACTGCTAATTATCACAAGTATATTAACTGCATGGTGCTATGTTGACCATCCATGTGCAGTCTTCAAAGGTGGTGAATACCGATCATTTTCATCTTTAATGTCATTTTAATATTATTCCATAAAATTGAAAATCTTCTGAATCCCTGCTTAAGGAGCTAGAAAGAAGCATGTGTAATTTTGTTTTTGCTTAGAGAGAGATATGGGAGTAGACAAGATTGAATTGTATGCCTCTGTGGTTATCGCATTGTAAATTGATTTAACCAAGTCAAATAGGTCCTATATTTAAGATCCACAAAATTTTGTGTAACTGATAAAAGTTTTAGATTTGGCTATAATTTAAAAAGCTAACTACCATCGAATTTTCTTGGGTCCTTTAGAGCCAAGAATCCTATCACCTAAAATCTCTCAGACAAAATTCTAATCCACAATATAGAAAACAATAAAACTCTAATACCGAGTATTTGGAAGTTGCCCCTAAAATTTACTTAACTCCAAGATGATCCATAAATTCTTTTGTACATTGCTTTAAAAAACGTGCATATCCCTTGCAGTTCAACCCTCCTCTCTCCCACACACACACACACACACTTATTCTAGATCTGAAATTTCTCAGACATTCACTCACCACTTCCATAGAGGGACTTGAGAGCCTTCTATTTTGAGCTCTAACTACTTTCTGAATTCTCAGGTTTTTTTTTTATGGCAGTAAGTTTATTTTTCATACAAGATGTCAGTGCAGGTAACCATCAGGGAACATGCTGCTGTTTTCAGATACACAGAACTGAACAAACGCATTTTAAGATGCTGTCTTACTGTACATAGAAAACTGGTGATCATCTTCAGATACTATGTACAACTAGGAGGTGAAATGAGGTAATGCCTTTTGTTGATATGTTTATGAATCACTCAGCAGTGTTTTTATAGGCTGTCTTTACCTGAAATCAGAATTAGATTTACTCTGGCTGGCTCTAGACAATTATGAACTGCAGGTCTTGTCAAGGGCACAACAGGCGTTATGAATGGAGACTGATTTGGCTCCTGGGTCAGCACATTTTAAGAACTGATACAGCCATCCTGATAATTTAAGATTGAGTCTCTCTTACTACATAGGTTGGTAATCAACATAATTAGGAATTTCTGAAACACTAGCTGAATAAGCCTAGGGTTAAAAAAAAGAAGAAGAAAGAAAGAAACTCTGTGCACATAACAGAATTGCTACTTCACAACTTTTGCCCAGTTCTCACATGTTGCCCTGCAAAAACCCCTCATCTGATAAATTTTAGTGAAAGCCCCTAGCAACTTTAACAGACCTTCCTTAACTCAGCCGTATATACTAAGTATCAGAAACAAGAGCCCGTGAAGTGGATGCTTCCATGGGAAAATAGCAGTGTTTCTGCTAGAGATAAGTGTCAAGTTTCCTCTTGGTGTTGTCAAAGGAATCTGCTCTCATGTAATCAGCCTGGCCCTGTTCCCACCACTCCTTCCTTCCATTCTTCTGAGGATACAAAAGGCTGTGTCATAGCTGGGATCTCTCCTTGGGCAGATGTGAAGGTGTTCCTGAGACATCTTTCACATATAGTTATGAGTGGGTGTCTTTGACAAGGCCAAATTGTTGAAATCTTAATTCTCAGGCTTGTCCCTCCAACTGCTTGCTGAGCAATTAGTGTAACACATATTTATCAGCACCCACTGTGTGTGAGTACATTACAAAAAGCAGAGTCAACAAATCCAAAACCCGATTTTTAGTCTTCCACCGTAATCAGCCTTTTCTCATAACTTACTCGTTTTTTTACTGATAATGTTCTTCTCCTACTTTGAAATCTCAGAATCATCCTTGATCTGTCCTTTTTTGCTCCCATCTCAGCAGAACTTCCATTCCTTATATCACAAACACGTTCCACATTCAGTCATTGAACACACATGTATTAAGTGCTTGTTATATGCCAGGCACTGTTCTAAGTGTTAAGAATACTGTTTGTCCGTTGAGGAAAACAGACAAAAATCCTTGCTCTCCAGGAGCATATATTCTAATAAATAATGGTGTCCTGAAAGAGTCTTCAAACATCATCTTCTTGAGTCCTTTATCTCCATTTCGTCTGTGCTTCCCTCTCACATAGTGTTTATTCCACTCACACCAGGCCCAGATTTCCCGAGTTACCCCATTAGACATCTCATGCCTAGACTGGCTCTCTGTGTGATAATACCCTAGGGACCCACAACTTACTCTTTTACTTTGGCTTCTTGGCCAAGTCTCCCAAACTCTGCTTAGACTTCTTTTCCCTTTCTCCCTAGAACACTCTGCCTCCGCGCCTCCCACCCCACCAAACCAAAAGACAGCAGTGGACTCCACCTTCTCCGTCTCCATCAGTCTACGCTTTTGAAAGCAAAAGCAACATAAGTTTAGTTGTCTTCTAGGGATATGGTCAATTTGTGCTTTACCCTATAACAGAAAAGTCATGAGCCAGCAGAACACCAAAGCTTGGGTACCTTCTTGAGATGGACGAAGGCTAAATATTAATAGTAGGGGGTATATGGGGAAATATAATGAGGTTTAAGACAAATTCTTATCAATAGTCATCTCTTTGTTGCCAGAAAGGTTCCTGTCTTATTCCACAAGAAAGAATCCAAGGGTAAGATGAACAGCTGGCGAGTTTGGGGGTCCAGTGACCAGATTCTTGTTTGATTCTGCAAGAAAGAATGTAAAGGCAAGACAAACAGCAAACAGGAAAGTGCAAGGTTTATCAAAGCGAAAGTGCTCACTTGAGAAGGGAGAATCCAGGCGAGAGTCATGCCAACATGACTGGTTATGAACTTTTTGTTCTCATAGAGGTAGAACTCAGAAAAACGTGGTGCTGACATAGCCTTGTTGTTACCTCCCAGTAGGTGGGGAACTTGGTTTCCCACTTTTTCTTCCTCATATGGTGTTTCTGAAACAGTCATGGTGTCAGGTGCATGAGGGAGCTGCAGTATTTGCAACATGGATGAGATTAAAATGATATTATAATTAGCCAAAGACAGGGTCTAGGCTGGAAAAGACCAGTTTTGGTTTATCACCCCTACTGGGGCTAAAACAAGGGAAGATCTGAAGAAAGGAAAAATTTCGGAGCCATATCCTGGAGTGGGAGGGGGTGTCCCTGTACTACCTGTTCTGCCTCATAATAACACAAGGCAGGATATAGAAGCCCCAAATGAATAAAAGCTATGGACTGACATGGGAGGTCAGATGAAGCAGAAATAAAGTAAAATTTGTTGAGCACTGAGGATAATGAAGGGCTTTGCATTCATTATCACATTTAACAGTAATGAACCTGGAATTTAAATATTATCAAGATAATATAGAGATTAAAAAAGAGAAAGAAACCAGATTTAAACCTAGGCCTGGGTAGGTCCAAAGCCCCAACACATACATTCATTTAGCAGAGGGACAGGGAGGGATCTAAAGCTTTTGCTAGGAAATCCCTCAGTTGATTCTGACATACACAGAAAAAAAAATTAACTGAAGAGAACAGGTATCACTTAATTCAAAAGGTTTCCAAATTTTGATAAAATTCTGATTCATTTATGTCTTTAATCTTTTTGTAATTTTCAAACTAAACTTTAAATTTTCCATTTCCATTTTTTGTCTAGTAGAAATTATGCTCTTTTTACTATCCTTAAAAAAATCCATTCAGCAGTTGCCTAACAGATAAAAACAGTCTATTGCAGCATCCTGTGGGCCTTCCTAGATTCTCTCTTTATAAATGTTGGTTAACAATTAATTAAATACTTGCTTTTGGAATTGAGTAAGCTTTCCTCAACTGTACCTTGGGAGATGCTAATCTGAGTTCCAAGAACAAAGGATTCCTAGGCAAATAAGATTGAAATTTACCCTCCTCCTAGCTGTATCTTAATTATTAACATATTAAAGAATCATATAAAAACAGCAATAAAGAAAGATGTTTATAGTTACTTAATAGTTAAACAAATTTAAACAACCTTGTTTTTGTGAGGAAAGACTCTTTTTAGTAATCTATCTCCCAAAACCACTTTAAACAAGAAAGAAAAT